CTGAGTTGCGAGATATTGATCCGTACCCACAAACCACCGAACTTACTTTTAACGCGTTTGGCATTAACTTCCATTTGAACTTGACGAAGAGTTCGTTTATAGCACCGGACATGGTGTTGCAAAGAGGACCGGGTGGCCGTGTGATTAATCCAGTAGATTCCTGCTATTACCAAGGCAATATCATTGGATATGAAAAACAGAACATTGTAACTGTCAGTACGTGTAATGGTTTGGTAAGTAACCAAGTATTTCACCTTCAATGCGAGAGGAATTGGGTGATTTTGTCCATATTTTGGAAATTACCACCAAGACAATTTAAAATGGCACGCTCAAATATATGTTCCTTTTATAAATCAGCGATGTAGGCCTACAAGATAGACGTACCCATCTCAAATACACCTTGAATTTTACCGTGACTCTCTATGCATTTCTACTGTTGACCGTTTATTTGCGTTTACATTTTAGCTGCAATATTGTCTCAACGTCTCTACCTTAGAAATAATACAATATTCCTTAATCAGTTTGTATACTCATATGATTCAAATATAAAGTAGTCAATGACAACTAATGATCTTCCGATGAACGGTTGTCGTAGTAACCAGCTTAGTGTTCAGTCCATTTAATTAATGTTCTATAAAACATTATCACTTTTTCGTCTTCTAGAACGGCTTAATTCGAACTGGCGACAATAGCTATACCATCAAACAGCTTCCGGCGTCAGTGGCGCCTCATTTCGTGACAGAGTATGGTGACTACCCCCACGTGGTATTTCGAAGGAGCACTAGAAGCGGTCAACGAAGTATGATTCAAATTTAGCAATTTATCTTTGCGTCCCGTTCCTGTAAAATAAGTGTAAATAAATTCTTCTGATAAATTGCTGATTACAGTATGCCTAAAACTTAATCTCTACTTGAATTAAATGTCATGACGTTGATCTGCAACCATTCTCATGAATTTGTTATGATCTTGTTTTATATTTTGGTACGAATTGAAAAGGAATTAAATAAATTTTACTTTGAAATTACTATAGAACAGAGACCATGTGAATTTTAAGACGTTTCTGAATAGTTGGTCTGGTCTCCTGAAGCACACCTTGGACCAGTTTCTTAGGAGACAAATCATTGGAAAGTTAAGATGGCTTGGAACAGATCTTGGGAACTCTTGAAGCAAGTTTGGATATCTTGGTCTCTGAAAAGAGATATCTTAATAGCATTCATTGCTTATTTATTAGTCTTAATCATTAATCGTGTCTTAATTGGATATCAGTATTGTTATTAATAAGTAAATTATTTTTTCTATTCACTAATTCTCACGTTAGCTGAAGTAACGACGTCTTTATCCCGGCATAAACGCGGCATCAGGGATCTTGATGCAATCATAACCCAGACTATTGAGCTGGTAGTGATGGTTGACTCAACAGTTTACGAATATTTCGATTCAAGTGATACTTTGGTTCAGGATTTCGTCTTAAGCTTCGTGAATGCGGTAAGAAACCATAGTTATTATATTGACCTCATTAAAAAAAAAAATAAGGCCAACTTAATAATGGAATCGTGTGTAATTAATAAAGATGAGCCGTGTTTGATATGGAAAATAAAGCAGTGAGGATGTCGTACTTTAAACAATAGTTTGTTGGCAAGATAGCTTTCTTCAGGTGAGAGAACTTTTCACTGGAATAAACGCACTACGCGTGGTCCAAAATTAGCGTTTGTCAATATAACATAAGTACTACAATT